GATTAGCTACATACGTTGCATGTCCGAATCCTCCCTTAAAGTGTTTCTTTCATTATTGGCTGCATCAAGAGATTTTACGTTTAGGTCAGCTGATTTAAGCTGAGGCAGATCTGAAGCTGAAGCTGGAGCGGAAGTTGACGCTAAGCCCGAAGCTGAAGCCGCAGCTGATCCCGAAGCCCAGCCCGAGGCTGAAGCCTTGGCAGCAGGCTCATCTTTACCAGCCTCTGGCTCCTCTGCCGCCGAAGCCTGCGTCGCCATACGATGCTGTCGCTTCATGTCTGCCCAGATGCGATTGTAGTACCTGCCACGCCCATTGATGAGTATATTGTGCGGCTTATTGTCGCCGCTGGAATGATGATGGAAGGCAAAGATGCTGGCGCCCGTATCGTGTATCCAATCCTGCACCACCAGCACATGCTCGCTGAGATCAAAGTCGTAGAGGCCGCCGTGTGGCTCCATCTGCTTGGGCCGCCGTATGATGAGTGGCCCGAAGACGCCGTCGCCGCGCTGCATGCCCGTATGCGAATGCCAGAAGTGCGTGCCGGAGTTGTCAGCCGGAAAGCTGTAGCGGAATGTGGCATGCGGCGAGATGGGACACTGAGTGATGTGCGGCACGCCATCCATATAGGGCGTCTTCTTCTGGTGCAAGCCATGCCAATGGATCGTGGTGCTCTCGCCCAGCAGATTATTCTTGACGTCGACGACGATCTGGTCGCCCTCGCACACCTCTATCGCTGGACCGGGCATCATGCGATTGACCACGGTGATGCTACGCTGCAGTCCATCGCCCATGATGCAGTGCGGCCGCGCGCAATCGGTCAGATTGAGTGGGCAGTCGTAGCAGGCCTTCGAGAAGGTCTGATACCATTCGACCACGAATGTATAGTGGCACGTCATGGGCGGCGCTCCCGCTTGACAGTCGCGCAGGCACGGGTGCTGGCGATACCATTCGGCTGTCCAGATATCTGGCGTCACCTCGACGTCGTCCAGCTGCTCGATCCGCGACGTGGCCAACGGGCGGCAGACGAAGCAACAGCTATTCCTGTAGATGCGCTCGGCCGGGCAGCTCGGATCGATCGGCGGACAGGTGCGCCTATAGCTATTGATTGTTATCTCGCCATTGTCCCGGCGCGCGCACTCGAGCAGCGTGCAGTCGGCGTCATTATGCCACGACTCGCCCACCGCGTACAGGGTATTGTTGTGCTGGCAGTGCGTGCGCACGCACTCCCCACAGCAGCTGCTCGACGTCCTCCGCAGCTCAGTGCCCTGCGAAAATCGAGGCAAATATCAATGCGACGGCTATATATTATTGATGCGAGATATGTTAGAATGGAATATCATATTAGTGATATATATGAATTTCTATAAAATATCTATTTCATGAATGGAATATCATATTAGTGATATATATGGACTTCTATAAAATATCTATTTCATGAATGGAATATCATATTAGTGATATATATGGACTTCTATAAAATATCTATTTCATGTACTTTTATTATATATATATATTTAAAATTTTTTTATGCTTCGGTTTTGCTAAAACATGTATTATTTTTATTATTTTTATCAATACTATTATTATTATTATAAAATTATTATTTTTTTAAAGTATGGATTTCTATTATATCTAATTCATTTATATTTTTGTATGCTTCATTTTTGTTACTACTTATACAATTTTCAAATGAATATTATTATGATGAAAAATTCTCTTATTTTACTGTTAGTACAAAGCTGTCAAGTTCAAATAGATTTTCTTATGAATTGTTCTTCTAAAATTTCATGGGAAACATTAAGACTGCAATATTACTGAAGAAAACCCAATTGCCAATTAAATTATAAATACAATCTAATATAAACAGTCTACAAAATAGATACCAAATAATTTAACATATAATAAAATAATTTAACATATAATATAAATATATTTTCCCAATTGAGTTTCGTACAAATTTTGCTGATTAGCTGCTTATGTTATTTTAAATTTAAAATTTATGTTCATAAATATACATATTTTGCTGGAAAATTTAATCAAACACTAACCACATCACAGTAAAATTCATTACAATCAATTTGAGTGACGACGATGTGTGCCTGCGGCTCGGTGCC